GTGCAGATGGAACTTCCATGGATGTCAGCAGAGGAGCAGGACACAAGCCCAGCAAGGGAAGAAGTTCCTTGCAGATGTGATGAATTGCTAGACAGAGCGCTAGATGTGTGTTTTGCAAGGAAGTTCCACTTTTAAAAGATGATATTCTTGAAATGAAAGAAGCATCTTCAGATTATGCTTTCAAAAAATAAGTATTTTAATTATTTTTCTCTGGAATTGTATTTTCCTTTTGGAATGTAAAAGGATTAAGACTAGACAGCATCACTGCAGAAATGAAATGGCCAAATGGACCATAAACATATTGCTTAGACTTAATTTAATATATAACCCACACATAGAAAATTTTAATTATAAATTACACCCAGCCTTTTTCTGTGATATGGGGCCATGGGAAAAGGAGTTTGCCAGTTACCGTAGGTCGTAAGAATGAAAGCAGCAAAAATCTTAGTATTTTGAATGTCTGGTTTAGAGGCAGTTTCGGTGTCAAAATGGCCTATTTGGATTTTTCCCAGAAGTACATTATCTGAGTGCATCTTTGAAATAATCTAGCTAGTGACAGGCATGCTTCCAGTGCCAGTATAGATCATCTGAAAGATTGATACCGTTTGTGGTGTTTTGCCAATACGTCATGAATTAAGTAAGAAATTGTATAAAAAAAAAAATCCTTTTTTTTTTTTATTTTATTTTTAGTGGTTTCCAAAAGTCAATAAAGCAAACAGGCAGTTTATTACTATAGTCTTAGCTATTCATGTAGCTAGTTTTAAGAAAGCAGTAATGGTACATGACAAAGTAGTACTGGGTGTCGCTGTATCTTGGAGTGCTTTGCTTTCCTATCCATAGCTTGCCATGAAGCTTACACATAAATAAGATTACTTCTTCAGAAATGCTATATTTGATTCAATGAGGAAACTCAGGAAATTCAGCTCGAGATCCTGCAAGTCAGATGGACACCTCCCAGTTGAAGGGCTGTGCGGCGCTGCTGTGATCTCGCCTCATGGAGGTCCAAGAAGTAGAGCTGGCCGAGACACCAGCCTCGTGGAAAGAGCGGGCGGGAAGAGCCGCGGAAGCTCGAAAGCCTCTCGCGTTGTGTGAAAATGCCCAGCGCTGAATAAAGCCCCCAGGCCTGACTGACTGATAGCGTTGGCAGCATATTTGAACTGCGAGCCATCACCTAAAAAAATGCAAAATTAGGGAGTCGAGAGTGTGTTTCTAATTTCATAGTGTGTAGTTGAAAGAATACAAGAAGAGTCTGCCAGCATAAGATACAGTTTTATGTGGCTCTACATGACAGAATCTGTGAGTTTTCTTAGTGTGTGTAAAGTACAGTTTGCTCATCTGGTCTCCACATAGCTGGTTTAAAAAAAGAATTGTTTTGGACAAACATTTAAGGAAGTCCTCCTGCTTTTATGTCAAAACCTCTGGGAAAGGCTGTAGCGAGCTGCCTCAATGAGCACAAAACAGCCTGTTGTTTCTGAGGGGAAAATACAAGATCCGTTGTTACCGAAAAGAAATGTTTTTGTTTTGTTTTGTTTCCTTCAAATGCCCATTATGCACCTGGCTGCTGATGCCCTCGTGCTGTGGGGGGCCTGGGCAGGCTGGCCCAGCACAGTTCCATACAGCGCCGGTCCCTCCGCGAGCCTGGAGCGTGGGGACGGGTCGTGTGGCTTCCGTCAACTCGCCTCTTTTCCAAGTCATATTCAGGCTAGATTGGCAGCGGGCCCGGGGGGTGTCGGGCCTCTGCCATGAACTGCCACTGCTCTGGCCTAGCAGGCAGGGCAGCGTAGCGGCAGCGCGTGCGAGGCCATTGTGTTTTAGGGTATAACTTTGTGATAACACAGTGGTTTCTGCCAAAATTGTGCTCTAAAAAACTCCGGAGAGACTGAGACAGCATGACGCAGTGCTTTTTTGATGAATGGTCAAGGATTTACTTCTCAGGTGGGTTGAGCAGCAAGCTGCCTGAACGTGTCATTTTGTTCAACTATGCATTAACAATTTAGGAAGAGTCAATAAGTAATATATAGTTGTTAATTAGTATGTTTACAGAGTAGAGGGTAGATATCTTAAGTCTGGATGATTCATGAGCCATAGAAACTTTAGTTCTTTGCGCCTTCTCACTGAAGAAATCAGAAATGGAATGCTTGTGATTGTATAAAGAATAAAGCAAAGAACTTTTGCTGGCAGGTTTACTTGCTTGGCCTTTCAGACAAAGTTTTAACTTGGAATTACATTTTAGTGAAAGAAATGGTGGAATTTCAATGGAAGTGAATTTTTCATAGCATGGTGCTGGGCTTTTAGAAGTCTCAGGGATGTTGTTAAGCTCATCTTTTTTCATCTAGTTCAGACTTGTTCCATGCAAGCTATTTACTGTTTTTCAGTCTTTTGTCTTGCTTTAAAGAATTGAGACCTCTGTCCTGTGTCAACTTTATCTAAATTTTTTTAAAAAATCGTTATATATTTTTTTCCCTCTTTAAGGGGAAAAAGGCACTATTTTTTGGCAACAGGAATGAATATTTTGCTCTTTTTATTCATACAGTGTCTGCCATTGGTATGAATAGGGTGGACAGGAAATGGTTTATGAGCCAGAAACACTGATACACAAGAGCACAAGCTCATGGCTAAGAGAAGGAAAAATAAGAAACAACGAAACTTCACAATAGACTGTTAGAAAAGCTGTGCCAAAAAAGAAAAGAAAAAGAAACTCGAAAGAAACCCTTCAGGCTGCGTTCTTTGCTCTTTGCTGGTATCTCACTTGACATCATTCTTCTTTAATTTACTGGAAGGACCTGAATTTATGCTGTTTCAGGGGTCTGGCCCTTCGCTTATAAGATACCTACGATGATTAATTTCCATTAAAAGTTTAAGCTTTGGTAAGTTGTTTGTTGTGGCTGAATTAACTGCATGTCCCAGAATGAAGGATGTGTATTTCAGTTGTGGCAATATAGCTTTGATTTGTGTTTGGCCCTAGAAAGACTTTTTGTCCAACCCTTACAATATAATTTGTTAACTCATGGCTGTATTTTCAGGCATGATTTCTTGTTTGCTTCTTATGCGAGGGTTTGTTGAGGAAAATATTTGCATGTACTTGGAGATCTCAGAAGGGAGGGCAAACAAAGCACAGATGGCTGTTTGGCCAGAAGTGATGTTTGTTCCAGAAGACTTGTTCCTCTGAGTCTAACAGCAGATCAAGTAGTCTGTGAACTAACTTGTAGGCCTGCCTTGGGTGCAGTTTATTGCCCACTGGAAAAGACTTGGCTTTGATGTCTCTCTCATCTAACTAGATGCATCTTCACGTGCAGATGGGAGGTGCAAAGCAGGAATTCCTGGGCAGAACTTCCTGTGGGGCCCTCGGTAGGTTGGCTTTCGCTGCAAAGCAGACAAGGCTTTCCTCCATACCAATATAAGAGAAATGATTTGTAGATGCAGGAGGGATCTCCTCTTACTGCTTGTTTTCCTACTACATCCTCAAAAACAGTTATTCAGTCATGTTGCTTTTATGTCTCCAGTTTTTCCTTGAAATCTGTTTCTTTTAGAAAAAAAATAATTTGCTGTTCTATTTTAGTTCTTTATGTGATTTCCATTACTTTTATGTAGAAAGTATTTTTAACAGCTGTTTTGATCTAAGACTACCTAAAAAAATTCACCCTGCATGCATGACCAAACCTGATCTATTGACTCCAAGCACATAGGCTGTGCTGATTAGAGCCCCTGTTCTCTGCACATCCTGCTCCTCTGTGTGTGTTTCTAGGCAGAGCACTCTTCTCTGTGGTAAAGTGAGGGCATGAGATAATTTTAAACAAAATATTTAATTATTTAACTTGTATTTAACTTTGGAGTCTGTTTCTGATCTGAAGAAGACTGGTCTGCCCAAAAGCTTGTATTGCAGTTGACCTAATGGCAGATGTTGTCTTCTGCCTCGGTGCATGCCTGGGTGAAGTGTCTATATGTGGAGGACTTCTTGTTACGTGGTTTCCAAATCTCTGAAGCTGGCAGCTGAAGGGCACACATTAAAATACCAAGTAATATAATTGGTTGCAGTAATGGCACGTAAAAGTACAAAAGAAAAAGTGGTAACATACTGCAGTGTAGGATGGGGCAGGACAAGAGGCTGGCGTGGCCAGCATTTGCTGTTGTGGAAGTGTGCTTCAACTGTGTTGAATCACAGCCCAGAAGATAAAAAATAAAAAATGCAAAGCTGTTGTGGAAAGGAAACGCTTCAGAGCTAGTTTATGGACTTTATCTTGAAGCATCTTGTTTTTGCTGAGGAAAAAGTCAACTCTAATGAATTTGCTTTTTTTGCCAAACCATCAACTACATGAATTCTGCCAGGCTGTCTAATACTTTTTCTACAGATGCTTTCAGCTTTTAGTACTAGAACTAAGAAGTGAGCTGTTCGTTATGGCAATGACCCAAGTATACTTGTTTTTCTTGCTCTTCTGTAGTGCAAGATTAGTATCTCTTACCCGTACCAGGCATATTATCAATTTTGTAATGTCACAAATGCACTACCTGTTTGTCTGAAACTTGTGTTTTGCTAGTGCTGCTAAGTACCACAAAAGTTCTATTTTGCTTACTACCTTATCTAGTTAAGGCGTTAAGTGTGTTCAGCACCAACATGTTTCTCACATGTTGCTATCCGTGGAATAGGAATGAAATGTGTGAAGCCATAGAAACAGTGATTCTACAGACTAGAGACATAAGGAGATGAATTTGCCACTAAGCACTTGCCATTAAAAATCTTGAGAGGTTCCGTACAGCAAGACCTACTTGGATTAGAGGTATGCTGACAACAGAGAAGACCAGAATCTCTTCTTCCCCATATGGTTCTAATTTTTATCTTCTTTGGGGAAAAAAAAAAAAGGGAGTCTTTTTACGTTTAATATTGTTCATAGAAAGTGACAGTGCCTTCACTGCCTTTCTAGAAATGAATGAATAGTAAGAAACCAGTAATGATATTACCATTGATATATAATAATTTGAATTTGTGTATTTTATTTCAACAGATGTGTCCTGAAAGCAGCAGAAATATCAGAGAGGTGCAGTGTGCATCATACAATAACAAACCATTTATGGGTCGATTTTATGAGTGGGAACCATTTGCTGAAGGTAAGGAAAGACATCTTTGTTTTGGATTTTGATGCAGACTGTATTTCATACATAAAAATATGGGTTTTTTTTATCTAACAAAGCCAGCAGGCTTTGTTGAGTCTTGTTGATCTTTCCCTTTTCATCTGCTGAATTTATTTATGGGATGACAAAAGTATCTCACTCCGGTGTTTCCCAGAGTACACAAGAAGGAGCACTTAGCACCTAAGTCCTGTATTGACAGGTTGTACCTCTTCTCTTACACTGCTGCAACAGTATTTCAACTACTACACAGCTAACTGTCTTCTCTTTTACCCATTCACTTTTGAGTTTGTCTTTTGATGGTGAAGGTTCGATATAATTCCCTTTCAGTAAACAGAATTAAGTTTTTTGTTTGGTTGGTTTTTTTTTATCCAAACTTAGCATCTGACTCATGATTGTGATATGTTCAGTTCAGCACTCTCTATGATTTGTGTTTTCTACTGACACGTCCAATGGTTGGGATGGTGACTGTGGAAGGGGTAGCTCTGCTTGGGATTTGCCCAGCTGCACGCTGAAATGAATGTCCTGGAATACAAAGCAGCACTTTCCAGCCTCCTAACCCTTGGAGGGCAAAACCCCAGGGAGCTGGGCTTGCAGGCTTTCTCTGGTAATGTGTTTTGTGGAACGGTTATTTATTTATTCATCTTTCTGTCAGCAGCAGCTTGGCCTGCCTCAAGTAAGATCAACAGTTATTTATGAGGTAAATAGATTTTTAATTTTCAAATATTTCTCTAGTCTAGTTCATGTCTTCTTTTCTAAATTAATGTTAAAAGTTTCTCTTTCATAAAACTTCAAAGAACAAATAGGGTTAAGCTTACAAAAGTATATATGCACACTATAGCTAGGTATCTTTGTTGTTCTGAGGCCATGCTGTTTCTTGGAGTCAGTCGGTTATAGAACGTTATCCATAAGCTCTTTTGGTAGGAGGCTGTGTCTTCTGTGCTATGTCTCCCACCATATGCAAGCAGCAGGTCTTACCTTAAAAGACAAGATATAGGATAAATCAGGATACAGACCAATCCGCTTATCCTTTCTGAATATGTATAGAACAAAGCAGAAAGAACTTACTCGGATTGTTTAAGTCTCTCCTGAGTAAGTAGCTGCATGGAACACAGTTCCACATAACTAAATAGATGTAACAGGTTAGGCCGTGGCCTTCAGGCAGTGTCTATAGGGATTCTCATTGCAGCAGACTCCATTACAAATAAAGGCTTCAGTTTGTACTATAGTTTGTCTTTATGTTGGCACCCTGTTCCTGTAAGCACTACAACTGATGTAGTGGCAAGCGTCACCGAATAATGCACCATGCTCTGCTTTAAAAAGGAGGCAAAATGAGAAAAGTATGGAAAAGGAGTAAGAAAATTGCATTCCTGATGGAGGGATTCCTCCTGCAAGGTTGGGGATTTCAGTAAACTGAGGTCAAATGTGCTGTGCAAAATAGAGCCTGATACCAGCTTTGGAAGTGCTGGCTGGGCGAGTCACCGGAAGAGAGCACAGGCTAATGTCACTGCGTTATCCCTCCCGAGGACCCGTGAGCCCCTTGCTGGGCAGTGTGTGGAAAGCTCTCTTGGGGTTAGCTGTTGGGTTTCTGTGCCTGTTTTGTAAGTGACAAAGATGCTTCCAAAGTTGTGCGGGAGGAGATATTAGTCATGGTTTGCTTATTTTTTAGAGGACTATCCTATTACATTCAAGAAATTTTGCAGATGTGTGAGGTTCCCTTTTCTCTCTGCGCAGAGATGGGGATTTCCATGTGTTCTAGAAAGCAGCAAACAGTCTGCTCTCGGTAGTGCCCGAAGATGGGCAGCTATGAGTCACGGTTGGCATTGGCTGTTTTTGCAGCTAAACTTGAGTCGGTGCAGGTTCAGGTAAGTTAATGTTTGACTCCTGGTTGATGAAGTAGTATTTGTTTCTGATGTAGCTACACCTCAGTTCTGGTTCAAACTGTTGTGGGTGTTCTGAAGTGTTGCTGTGCTGTAATTCTTTGTCTCAAGTTACGAATATTCTGTATTTTTAGTTTGTCATGCTGGCATTCGCCAAGTTGCTCCAAAAGAAGTTTGAACTGTACAACTGGGACATCTTGTACCAGGCATTCAGGCAGAGTCCGAGCTGCCACTGACAGGGCACGGCCAGTGGCGGACCGGTTCAGCCCACCACTATCTCCTTGCTTCCTACACAGCAGCTTTGGCTCTTCTGCCTGTGCCAGGAAAGATGACTCAGGGGATCTCAAACGTGCCACAACCATTTCTTTTTCCCTACCCTGCACTGCACAGCTTGCTCTGTATGTTTATGTTGGATCAATACGGACAGCTAAACCATGATTTACAGCCTTGTCCTGATGGTAAGTTAAGTATAATTATTATTATTTTTGAAAGACACAAATATTTTGATTTCTCCCCTTTTCAGTTTAGTGCAGCTGTATTTCTAATCCTATTTTATCTGCTATTGCTCCAACAAAAACTTTAGTCTTTATTTAAAAAGCCATATTAAAGGGACTATAAACCCTATGAATTTAGAGTATTTAATGAAAAAATCCCTGGTTTGTGTTGGAGAAGCAGTAGCTCAGGATAATTTTAAGGGCAGGACTTTAGAGGAAGTTCCATTTTGGATACAGGGAAAGCGTCATCATGAAATGATAATAAAACCTGTAAGGAAATCAAAATCAGTAAAAGCAATAAATGTTTGAGGCATTCTGATAATTCAACTCTTCAAATTTGAGCTCTTAATTTCAGTTAAGATTCTTAATCTAAAGAAGGTAGTAGATATTTTGATGAACAAGTTGAAGGAATCTGTATAAGGAAAAACACCTGCTTAGTTAATTTAAAAAGTATAATTCCGTGAAAATCTAGTTACAGAAATCTTTGTTAGTGAAGAAGAACTGCACTTTGCGAAAGGAGAGGAACAACTGAGCAAAGTTTGTCAGAAATCTTTCTTAAGCCTAGGAATGAAATAAAGTCCCTTCCAGGAAAATCTCCGTCTGATACTTCATCTTTAAAAGGACACCTGGTTAATCTCCCGCATATTGTGAAATACAGTATTTTCCAATCAGTGACACTGCCGTGTCCTGACCAACTGCATGTTGGTGGTCTTGCTTTGAGTTTCATTTGCAAACGACAGTCAGGCAGTTATCCAGTATTTCAATCCTGCAGTACTCGTTGTGGGGTTCTGTTGTGGTACTGACCATTACGCTCCCTGCGCTAGGCGGGTGCCGTGGCGAGTGTGCGACTGCTCGTGCTGCGCGCCGGGAAGAGGCTGCGCCTTCCGGACGCAAACGCTGCCCGCACCCACCTTGCCCCCCAGCAAGGGAGGCCACGGACAGGACTCTCTCCCTCCGGAGCGAGCTACAGGTACTTCTAGGGTCTCTGTTGTTTGAACTTAACTAAAGCTCTTTTCCTCTGTGCTTCCCGTGCTGGTGGACATGCTTTTGTGCAGTGCAGTATTTGACCGTGTTGCAGTGAGAGCTGGAAGACTTGCTGTTTCCAGTGTATGTGTTATTTTACATAGGCAGCTGTAGCTGATGTTAGAGCTTGATGAGCTCTAGCTAACAAAGGTAACAGGAGTGAAGACGTGGCTAAAGCATCACTACGGAGTGGTGGCTGTACACTTGATTTAGTTCCACTTGGCAGAGTCAAAATTTCTTTGGCTTAAAATTACTGTATCGGGCCAGAGAAGCTGCTAGGAACAGAGCCACGCTCAGATCTCGAGAGCTGTTTGAACAGTTTGTTGCTGGCAGCTGGTTGTTGGCCCGGCCGCCCGCACATAGCGCGGGGAGCGGCCGCGCTGCCTCCAGCGCACAGCGGCGCTGCCCGCGCGGCTCCCGCCTCAGCGGGGCCGAGTCACGAGCCCCGGGTGAGCCCAGGTGCGCGCGGGGCCCTGCGAGGCCTGGCAGAGCCCGTCCCTCCTCCGACTCTGCTGGCCTTGGCTTCCTCTTACCACCTCATCCTTATGATGATTGCTGAGAGAAAAATGTAGCACGCTGCTCCTCAGAGCAGGCTTTGTGTGTGCTTGGGAGTCATGCACCGAAACTTCCTGTCGCTGACAGCTGCAGCAGTGCATCCGAACTAGCACTAGTGAAACCACTGCGGTTTCGGTAGAAAAAAACGTGCCTGCAGCCTCCCCCGGTGCCAGCGCTGGTGGGTGCTGGCGTTGGGGCGGCTGCCAGGACTGGGTGGCCTCACTGCAGCGTGAGGGCCATGCTGCCCGCCAGGACCTTCGGGCCTCCCCGTTGCCGCCCCGAGCGCTCCTCAGGGCTGCACGGCCCCTCGCGTGGGAGGGCAGGATCTGCTGCATCTGCTTCAACTGGGTCCGCATCTAGACTACTCCAGTTTCAACATTTGTATCCCTGGAAGGGTATTTAATCTGTACATTTTTTCACACTGGACTTCGTGGTACTCTAAGTCTGAAATAACTTTCATGTCAGCACTCCAGCCCAAAGCCTGCCCTGCATTCAGAGGACTTGCTGTATAGACAGTAAAAATCCTGTCTGAGCTTATTGTTGTAAAATACCTTCTAGTAACCTGAAATGCAGCTATGTGCTTTTCAGCTACAGTTGTAAAATACATACACTGTAAAAAAAATTAAAATATAGACCTCCCCTAGGTGTGTGGCAAGTATTGCAACTTTGGGAAGTCACATCAGATGAGGCATTTATGATATAGACTGGGTTTGTTTTGATATTAGCACGGGGACTAAATGCTAATAAAAAGCTGCTACATTTGTGTGTGTGTGTGTGTGTGATGCAGGAAAGAAATGCTTCTCTAGTAGATTGCATAAAATAGTAAACAACTTAAGAAGTTAAGCGGCTAGGGAAATTCTCCAGTCTGCTGATAATTGATAGTATTGAATAAACTCTGTTTTATTACATTTAATTATAAAATGGAAGAAAAGCCTAACTGATCTTTTACAAATCTGTCAGTTACTGAAAGGTGCAAATAGTTTCAGGCACTTTGGGACACACGGGTCAGCATGGTGCCAGCAGAGAA